ACCTCACTAGTTCTCTCCAAAAGTAGTAAGGATAGTTCAATGACCTTTTCCTGGTCACTTTAAAATTAGGCGGTAGTCTAAGAGGAAAAATAGATCTACACAATATTTACCTGCAGTTTAATATAAAATGCTGATTGGAAGTATTGAAAAAAAGAGTAAAGAGTTTGACGCCAACACTGCTAGCAAACTGTTATTTGATTCATCAATAAGATGAGCACATGCTGAAAGTTTGTAGTGGTAAATACAAGGAATTAATGACCCAGCTACAGTATCCCAGTTAACATGATGTGATGCTTTACTTGACGTGATGCTTTACTTACAGATCATAAGGTAATAATATAATATTTATATAATATTATATTTACAGTGTGCATCACGCTCCATTTTGGTTTCACTTCAGTGTTGCTGTCCTTACTTTGGATTTCTTTCTGGTTTCCCTCTCTTGGAGGTGGCTGTGACAATGAATGAATCAATGACAAGAACACTGAATGTTACCAAGATATCTGTCATGTTCTGTTGTTCCGAGATAAGATGGCGCATTGGAAGCCTCACTGACAGCGATTCCTTTGATGTTTGAGTTGCATAGTAATTAGTTGCGAAAGTAGAGTTCAATCTACCTTTATTCGGTTTCTCATGGACATTTATGACAAATAGTTTTTTGTTGGATATCTTTTGACCACAACGATGCTCTGTAATGCATACTTTTCTGCTGAATACTGTAAATGTTATTGTAGAATTACTCTGAAAAAACATCTTTGTGTATGTTTACTTTGAATAAATAGAAATTAGGTGTATGAGAATTTGTTCTTCATGAGAACACTGCTCTGGTGACATTGGGAACAATGGGAGCGTAAAAAAGAAAGACGCCGAGATCGGCCAAATTGATATAGCAACATTCCGAAAAATCTACCATTTCCGCGTACAATTATGAGATAATGTGATACAAAATATGACCCATCATCCCAAAGCCATGTGTTGTTTATTTAACAACACATGCTGTAAAATGAATGCAGGGTAGCATGCTCTGGGTGAATACTCAAATATGATTGGCTGCAGGGTGTTGATTAATTGGTCAGAAAGTACATTAAATGAGAAAAAATGAGGGGACATATTAGAAAATTCTACTTTGATGGTCCTTAATGTGGCTGTCTGGCATGTGTAACAACACCCAATCGCTGAAAAGAAAACCACATTCGCATTTTTTGATGATTCCTGTAATGAATGAATAACAACAAAAAACACTCGTTTGGCAGTTCCGGGGTTTGCCGACATTAGACTAGATGGGAGTCTCACGTAGCCATCTAATAGTGTTATTAAACATACTGTCCAATTAAATCGACAATGATATTGATTTTGTATCTTGCCAGCAAAACGTTAGCCCTCTGGCTGGAAGCTCAACCAAGGGTTCTGTTAGCAGAGCAGACTAGGAATATCTTGTTACAAGGTGGTTTTGTCCTATTAACTGTAACAGCAAATAATAATAAAATTTATTAGCAAACCCTTGTGGATTGTGAAAACATAGATTTGACTTGCAAAACACAAATGCAATTTTTTCCATTGGTAATAATTAAGAATATACATATAACCAACCAATAACATTCTAAAAGGGGGCATCAATGAAGAGCACATGTATTTTTTCATGCTGCAATAATGTTTTCTATAAATGAATATGTGCTTTTAGCTTCTGTTTTCTAATGACAGGACCTACAGTGTTATTGCAACCTTTATAACATTGTCTTTATAGAGAGTTAATATTCTAACAGACAATAGTGGGAGGAAAGCACATTTACCCGACAGATTAGAAAATAGAATATATATATAGAGTATATTTAAAAGAAAATCAGTTATGCTGACTCTCAACAAACTCCCCCAGAAAAATGATCCTTTTCCTCGTTGAAAAATCTTGATTCCATTTTCTAATTAACTGCAAGACCTTGGTTGTGCCCACACCCCAGTGGCAGAAGAGCTGTGACTGTAATCACCTGGCCAATAGCAATATCAAGCCGGTGGACCCTGTCACCCATTCTGCGCACAGATGCTTGTTCATTAGTCTCTGCCAGAGGTCAGTGTGTCTAAGAAAACATTGCCTCCAACCACCGCTTCTTTAAGGCACCACACATTTCATTTTTCTCTTGATGAATCATTGCCATATTAGTTTTGTGACGTTTGTCTAATGGACAAGATCGCCATGACTTGGTCAATTGAAAAGTAGCTTTAGAGCACCCTTGGTCTAAAGTGTTCAAAGCAGTTTGTAAATTTGGACCTTTTGGCTGCTATGGCCCTTAAATATCGCTGCCTCCCAAAAGGGATGTCTGTATGTACAGTATCTCACCATTTTTTTCTGTCATCCGAGATCCCCCATCTGCTAATCCTTTCTTTATAAAAATGTAGTTTCAAGTCAGGGCCCAGACGGCTCCAATATCGGCAATCCTAATAGTGCACAGCAACATAGCCTGAGGACGAGTCTACTAAAGAGCATATGGACATCATTTTTAAATGTAATACAACACTTATGAATACTTATATCTGCCTTTATACTGATCAAAACTCATCCAATTAAATAGGAAATGCAGGACAGATAATGTGCTCCAAACCACTTGGAAATTTTATGGTTACAATTACAGATAAACACATGTGTGCTTGGCAAATTAACTGATTACTTGGGATTCAGTGTATTTCTTTTCCAGATGCGCACTTTGCCAAACAGATGAACAAGTTCACCATTTTGCCTTACAGCTGGAATTCCACAGCTTCTCTTTGTTTGCTTGTGTGCTGAGAGTTTTAGAAAAAGTTAAAACAAAGCCTGCAGAATTGTAGAGATTGCTGGCTTTCTGAGGCCAGCTGATTTATGGAAATTATACTCATTTTCATTCAATATAAGCTAACCAAATTTCATTTTGACCAAAAATATTTACCATGATATATTAAAAAAGGAATTGATTTTCCTAAATATAGAATGTAAAGTTGGACCTAGCCAATTAGGCAAAGCCACACTACCTCCTTATCTCATAGCGGGTGTCAGTGTTTACAACTCTGATCAGAGGATGCAGCTTGAAAAATTCATATTTGAAAATGTGTAAAAGGAAATGAGGAGAAGTTCATTTGAGTAGGCCTGATGAATATTGAGGTGCTATGCAGCCATAGCTATGATAATATTCAAATTGTATACCCAGAGGATATGAATAAGTCAGACACTTTCCCGCTGGGTTTTGCCCTCTGCTTCGGTTGCCCTTTATTACTGGTCCAGTTTGTGACTTTCACAGACAGGATATCTAGCCACAGCCACAGGGTGGAAAATTTCAGGTTCAACGGTCTCGAGATTGCTTCTGCTGTTTGCAGATGATGTGGGCTTTTTGGCATCCTTGGACAGTGAGCTCAAGCATTCATTGGGGCAATTTGAGGCCGAACGTGAGGTGGTTGGGGAATCTAACTAGGATGTCTCCTGGACGCCTCCCACTGGAGGTTTACGGGGCACGCCTACCAACTAGCAGGAGGCCCCAGGGAAGACCCAAGACATGCAGGAATGATTATATCTCCCAGCTGCCCCAGGAACACCTCGGGATCCCCCAGAATGAGCTGGGAAATGTTGGGTGTTTTCTCTGAATTGTTGATCTTGCTACCTGATAAATATGAGAAAGATTAAATATATTCCTTAATTATATTCAGAACAATATACAACATTTTGAGCCCAAATATAAATTAACAGCAGCCTATTGGACCATGGCATTCCAACTTTGCATGGATTTGAGGACGTGGTCTTTGCCACGTACTACAGATGTTTGCACAATAGTTTATTTGACTAAAATGAAAAACAGTTTGCAGTCAGGTCGTCTTACTGAATACATGTATAACTGTCTATGATGGTGTTTGTGTCACGGTGTGGTGCACTTCCTGTCTTATTTTGTAGTTTTCTGCCACTCGTGTCCCTGGGTAACTTCACTTCCTGCCTGGTCCTGTCATCCCCTGTGATTGTCGGATTGTTTCCACCTGTGTCCAATCACCTGCACCTCCCTTGTGTATTTAAGCAGTGTGTGTTGTTTGTCACTGGTGGCGTCATTGTCTCTTGTCACGGATGTCCCTGTCAATCGTCCTGGATGTCGCTTGTCCCTGCCTGCCTTTTTCCCCGTGTGTGTGTGTGTGTGTGTGTGTGTGTGTGTGTGTGTGTGTGTGTGTGTGTGTGTGTGTGTGTGTGTGTGTGTGGCCTTTGCTTCCTTTTTGACTATTAAAGTTGTTTTTGCGTTAAACTCTGCATTTGAGTCCTGCCTTCCCTGACAGTTTGTTTTTGAAGGTTGTCTTAATATACAACACATGTAAGCATTATAACTTTGTTTCCTAGAGAGCTTTCGTTCTGCAATAATCCATATCCAATGAAAATTAGTGTGACACTAACTTCATGTTCAACATAAATTTATTCACTTTCATTAATTGTCATCTATGAATGACTATATGAAAAGAAAAAACAGAAGAGATGGTAGTTTACTGGCCTTAATTTGCTATGCACGCTGTAACACCACTTCTATGACTCACCCCGAAAGGATAAAAATAATTTAGTTTATTACTGAAAGCAGACTTAAGCAGCACTGAATAGTATACATGTATTTTCATCAGTCTTTCTTGCCTGTTACACTAATGACGACAGAGCTCAAGTTAAATTAAAGTGAAGGACAACTTCCTACTCTTGATTTGGTTTGGGAAAACACACTTATGCGCACACACCTATGTGCACATGAAGTTGTCCTAGTCACAGAGAAGAATTTTTGTCCAAATCTAATGCCTGTCTAATAAGCACTGTGGCAGAGATATATGATAAATAAAATCACCTCTAACACCACGGCGAGCCAGAGAATAATTTTATGCTAATTGAGTCCCCAACCTGTGAGTTATTTTTAACATCATTGCTGTTCTGAGCAGTCAGCACTAAGCAAAACAGTGAGCCCTTTCCTCACGTGTCATTAATTAAGCTAAAGGCATCAAACAGGATTTTCTCTTACTCCCCTCAGTACCGGCCAGGATCACTAACATATCGAAGGACGTCACAGTGAATGAGGGCAGCAACGTCAATCTCATGTGCCTGGCGGCCGGTCGTCCTGAGGCCAACATCATATGGAAGCATCATTTGCCAAGAGGTAAGCTATGTTATTTACTTGTATTTGATTAGTCCTGCTCTTCATACTGTGTTTTGTGTACATTTATTGAATAGAGAAGATTGTGGTTTATACACCTAGGAAACAAAGATGAGCCAAAGCTGGAGATATGTTTTCAGTTAAACTGGGCGGTGAGAAAACCATCTTCGGTTACTATTTAGAGCAGCGATTCCCAAAGTGTGGGCCGCGGCCCCCTGGTTTTTTAATTTTCAATTTTTAAAAGTTTGAATTAATTAAAATGAATATAAAATTATTTATGATGCGGCACATTAGTTATGTGAAACATTAGTTGATGAAGTTATAATCCGGAGCGCCTTATATATATATGAATGAATTGGTTAATCGGTTGATCCATACTGGTTGTACACGGCGCTCAGGGCGCTCTGCCAAACATGCCAAAGCTCGGTCTACGACGGCGAGATGCTGAGCGGGCGCTCAAGCGCGTGAGATATGGAGCTTGTTTCAGGGCATGTCGGAGAAACAAAGCTGTCTCGCCGAACACTTCATGAGATTAAAGAGCGAGAGACGGCGTCCTTTTCTCTACAGTAGCTGAACCATCTTAACGGGGAAAATAAGTTATTCTAAATGGAGCCGAAGATTTAAGGCGTTGATGGCGAGGGAGGCGGCGGGAGCGGACGCACCTCGCAGCATCGATCGGACCCTGAAAGCACCGTCTCCACCTTACTGAAAAAAGAACAACAGCGAGCGCGTAGAAAACTCCTTTGAGCGCGAGCAGAGATTCTCCTCGCGAGCAACGAAGTTCACGTTTCGCAAGCGAGCAAATACCTCGCGCGAGACGGACTTTTGCTCGCGGATGTTTGATTTTGGATAAATTCTTTAAGGTCATTTAATCATTATGTTTTGATCAGAGTTTGGGTGGGCCGCGAAAGATTTTCAGATTTCAGATTGGGCCGCGGCATTCTTGAGTTTGGGAACCGCTGATATAGAGATAGAAATTCACATGCTTGAATGGGAAGATACACAAACAATGTTAGCATTTATTTTACTGATATGTGTTATTTTTGTGTCACCTACCTTTACAATCCTTAACTGAATTTGGTTACCCAGTAATGTTGATTTTTCAGAAACCATTCCTTTTCAAGCTGTCAGAGGTGATTCATACAGATTCCACAACGTTTGTGCCTGGCAAAGCTGCCACAGCATTACCTGGGTTTAAAGGTGACTGCGCCGCCCCTCCTACGCACACGGCCTGATGTTGACGTTCCCACACATTGCACACATCCAACACTTTCAATTGAATATTCGCCTACGTGTGCAGCAGCCATTTACCTGCAGTGGCCACGAGAGGATGTATGATGAATAATTCCAGGCTTTAATCTATTGATTGAGGCCTTGTTTTCTTTTCAACTTGGTGGATTGCCGGGGTTGAAACTGTTCAACCTGTGGCCTGACAGGACTGCCTCAAATCAACCATAATTTGGCTGGAGGCCACAGCATGCTTGGGTTCTGTTCTGCTGGCACCTCACAGCCTGAAGGAGAGCCAAGCTGCTCCGTGTGTGAGCGCACGCATGTGTGTTCTAATTGTGTCGGCTCAGCACTTCCCACTGAGTGTTCAGTGGTGTGAGTCATGCACAGCTTCTCTATAGGATCAGATGTTCAGCCTGCAACGTGAACGCTTACAGCCCAGCTGTTCCCTCCTTCACTCTGTAATCTAAAGATGACAGGATCTGCCTCTCACAGCCCAGTGGCTCTCTATAACCTCAGACAACGACAGCGTTTATTTGTTACCCAATATTTACTCTGAATATTATAATCGCTCCCAACAACCCTTCTGTTTGAAGTGGGAATTGTAATCCTATTCAAAAGGAAAGAGACTTTATGACTCATCAGCCAGATGGTACAATTTACACTGACGTTACACGTTTTAATTCCCTCCAAGGTCTACGTTTAATTTCTGTTTTTGATAGGCATAGAATTTGGCCCTGGTTTAACACTTAAAATCACATTTTTTTGTGAACAAGTGGCTGCAATTAAATCAGTATGCTGACAATAATGGCTGGAAAAGCTGTATAACCCACTTCCCTTTCAATGTTGGAACCCTGCAGGCTCATCTTTTTGTCCTCAAAGTCACAAAGTAACGACGAATAACTTGAACAATAGACACAGCCAGCGTTTTTTTTTGGTGTTTCAAGGTGATAATCATAGGAAATAGGTCAAAAGGTTGTAATGCGTTTTAACATTGCCCCAGTAGTAGAAAGGAAATAGGTCACTCCCCACTAACAACCCCTGAGCTGATGCACAGCAGCAAGAATGGTGGCGCGGGAAGTAATTGAATCCCAAATCATTAAACAATACACAAGCATAGTTGCAGCCCAGTACGATATCTTTACATTTCTGTGTATGTGTTATTGTGCTACTGACATTTATCTGAGTAGCAATAATGACAAGAAATTCGCGCTAGCAGTCAGAATCTTCAATGTTTTTTGTTTCCTGCAGTGTATCATTTTCCTGACTAGCTTCTTCTCTTCATATATGTCATCACCAATAATGGACTTTTGCCACAGAGGATGGTGTTTGTGAGTGTAAGTTGTACAGCACTAAAGACAGCAGTTTTCTCCCTGAGTTAAACGCATCTCAAATCTCTAATGGAACTGACTCCCCAATGTGTTGTTTTTTCCATGGCACCTAACATCTCCCTGTGGGACGAAGTTACACATAACGCCAAATCCAAGGAACCTGTCAAGGCACTCATCAAAAACTAATATGATAATGCATCACACTGATTGAAACATTAGAGTCTTGGCTAAAATTTCAACTTTTACGTTTGAAAATGCTTCAAACACAACTCCAACAAGCCCGTCAAAAAATCATGCACACAGCAGTGCATTTTTACACCCATCGGTCAAAGCTAGAAGCTAACAAAGCAACCGAGAGGGTAAACAGCAAGCGCATTTAACCCTGATTAATGCAATATCCGTATATATCTTGTGGAACCTGCTTTCCACGTTTCGATTAGTTTAGGAGGAAGGGGGGGGGGATTCGGAGCGTCACAATCAATCCCTCGCTCTCACATTTTGGCTTCTGAGTGAGTAAGGGGCGCTCTTCCCCACGTGGGGCTACTCGGATCAAATAGGGGCTGAAGATTAAAGCCATAGGTTGACCTTGCAAATTGTATGACCACAGCCAGAGTCATAAAATCCATGATTTCCCTGCATGCCGTGAGGCCTGTACTAAAGCCTCTGTCGATTTTTTTTCTGCTTCACTCTATCACTGTAAAACTTTCCACAAATACGGTCCACACACTGGGCTATGACTTAGGTTAGTGTTTTGCCCGGTATCTCCATGTTTTGTAGGGATGGATACCCTGGAGGTGATTATTTTTCAGGCAAATCTGAACATTTAAAAACAAAATCTGTGTGCCATCTTTATTTATTTCTTAATCAGTAACATGTATGCTGATATTACACATCACAACACGGCACGGGTGTTCCCCTTTTTCCTGACAGCAACATTTTTCTGGATAGACAAAGTATTTTTTTTAGCTTTTCATTATGGGTATGAGATCATGAGCAAATATGCTCATGATGCACAAACATGCTTCACCTCTTACTGTAAGAATCACAAGTGACGGGAGAAAATTGATGAACATGAAAGAAATATGGAAAGCCTGATACAATTGCACAGCCTAATTTGAGCCTGAGGTTTGTTAACACAAACTAAACTGAGTTATTGTCAGATTCCCCGCCACAGTTCAATATCAATCTCCCGTCTGGACTTTTTAATGAAGGGGGACCCTGAGGCCTCTGCAGTATAGATGGCAACACATCCTCCAATACAGATGGTGAAACAACTAAGAGCTCTGTGGTGATTTACTTAACGTCAGTTTAAGTGGCTGATGGCCACTTGATGGATTAGAAGATATAAGGTCGGAGGGAAAATAGTTTGTTTTGGGGACAATTCGATATGGATCTCTTCGACCCATTAAGATGCATTAAAGGGAATGGGTTGTGAATGTACACTCTCAAAGATGTCCCTTTGTGCCTTTTCTTCTCATTGACTGTGACAACTGTCGTCTGTGCTTTTTTCAGGGGTACTGAGTGGTGTTGCTATTTACTCTTAGTTTGAGTATAAAGTTGCCTATATACCCGAAACAACAAACACTTTTTTGTGACAACCATGATCTCCATGTTAAAGGAATACATGCTCTTCTTTAAATCATGTATCTAATGCTGCATTCACACCAAAAGCAAAGCAACTTTTGTTGTGTCGGATCGGTGCCAGCATCAGTAGACACCAAATAACTTTCAGGCGTTCAATCTCTAGTCTATCTGCCTACAGTGGCAGTTTCATGAATTCATCCTCTGGTAGAGGGACGGCTGTGATGACGAACAGAGCATCTCAACGCTGATTGGCTTTCACAAGACAGCGTTGGGCAAATGTTTTGCCAAGGTTGAAATATTTCAACTCGCGTTCTTTGCGCCGCCCTTTGGAAATTAGCTGATGATAACATGACATTTCTATCTTGCCATCATCAGGTTAATATTTCATGAATCTCATCCTTGCATATGATTTTACATAAATAAAACACTACTGTAATGGATGGCTTTCATAGCACCATTTTAGATTTATTCAATTAATTATTAGTCATATAATTAATGTAATCTATGGAAAAGATACATTTACATATTACGTTGAAGGAAAATGCACCTGTTTGCAGCATTTGTGTGTTTCCTTTTTAATGATTGACATTGTTTGATGTAGTATGTCATACTTTAAATTACGACCAACAGTAAAATTTGATATATTTTGTATGACATCCATTGTAGTCTGTCCATCCTGGAAGAGGGATCCCTCCTATGACACTCTCCCCAAGTTTTCTTCCATTTTTTCCCCATAGAAGGGTTTTAATTTTTGGGGGAGTTTTCCCTGTGCCGTTGGGTTAGGGTTTGGGGACAGAGGATGTCACATGTGTACAGACTGTAAAGCCCTGTGAGGCAAATTTGTAATTTACGATATTACAA